GTTTCTAGTTTATTTAGAATTTATTCCATGTCTGTAACTAAAAAGGAACACAAAATAGGTTGTGTAACTCCAACTGAATGATTCATAGGATATCTTGTAATTAGTGGTTGTTGATTGGTGGATTATAGTGGTAAAAGAACCAAAAGTTGTGGCAGCATGAGTAATGTACTGTATTTAAAAACATTCAACATTAATTTTGTTATTATGTCAAATATAAGTACAGATGAATACAAAGTAATTTTGTTTAGATAAAACACCAGTTGTACACACTAAACAGTCCACATTTGTTTGTTGCCTTTGAAACACATTGGCATTTGTATCAATCATACAGGATGAGAGAGAGGTTACCTCCAGTGGTCCTCATAGCTATCTGAGGAAATGCCATGACATTCTTATTATTTTTTTTAGGTACAGTACAGGATTTACCATTCCAGTAGGCTAGGTGTCCACTCTTGAGATTTTTTATGAGTGATCCAAGATATAGCTGTTGGTTGCCTTCAATGTGCTTATCCATCATAAATTGTTAGTTCTGCTCTTAGTAAAGATAAAAAGTTTCAGTTTCTGATGTATGTTTTTGTAAAGGTGAATATTATTGTTCTTTGGACATTACAAAACTGACAGGACACCTTGAACCTCTTACAGTATATTGCATTTCATATTTCTCTGCCAGAGGAACAGACAGGAAATGAGGACATTTGCCCAATGGTTCACTAGATTGCCTATCAGTAGTGCACATTTCATTCTGGTAATTGTCATTACTTAGGACTTTTTTTCTGATAAAAAGTAATTCATATCATCTTTTGCTGAAGAAACAATTTACTAATTACATGACTTGTGTATTATTAGGATGCTTACAAGAATTATGTTTCATTACCTTTAACTCTTATGAGGAACTACATTTTTTTTTTTTTTTTTTTACCCAGTTTTCTTGCCAGTACTTTTAGATGTATGATCCCTGACATTTTGAAGTATTTCACATAATAATTACCGGTATTACAAGGTCAAAAGGTTCATTTAATTGGTGACATGCTCAAGCAGTAGCTAAACCTTACTATAGTACGGTATACAGTATCCTGGAATTGTTGGAGGCTTCACTAAACTTTGAAGTAGTTTCGAGTTATTGTCCTTCTCATTTTGAGGTATCACGTGATTACTTTTCCTCACTAAATTTTGATGAAAGTTGCAGAACTTATTTTTAGTTTGCATATACAGTACAGTACTGTACTGTAAATCTCACTATTGTATACATACATTACACTATTTTAACTTTTTTGTTAGGGTGCCACTTCTGTATCATCACTGCTTTAGAATTAAACTTCCTAATTAAAGAAGTTTCTAATGAGTTTCCTTAAAGTAACTTTTAATTGAAGTAAAGGATTTATTTCAGTCTTGATTGGCAAGGGTATTTACTACATACAGAGTGCAGTACTGTATGGTATTCTTCATTAATATTGACAGTGCAATACTGTATAGTACTGTATTATGTTTCTTGTGTATATAGTACTGTACTGTACTGTACTGTAAAATTAACCATACAGTACTGGTATTTTGAGATTATAAAATTATAGACTTGTGAATGAAGTGTGATGCATATGTTTTTAAAAATGAACACAATTCGTTCCAGAGTCGTTCGTTAACCGAAAATTTCGTTAACCGAATCTAGTATTTCAATGGGATATTGGGTTATTGGTTCCAACTCAAAGAAAAAGTATACAGGTACTCCTCGACTTACGACCACCCAGACATACGACCGCTGTAGTCGTATAAAATATTTTTCAAATTACGTATTTTCTAGTACCGACGTTAGTGATCGCCCTGAGTACTGACAACATTTTCGTTTGTAATTCCCCTTAAAATGGTTTTGGTTACCCAATGCCACCTGTAAGATAAAAAAAAAAACATTGACCTTGTTGACTGAGAATCAGCTAGCTACAGGTATGTACTTTAATCTAATCATTAAGGAATGTAGATATTTAATCAGCAGATAATGGGGAGTTCAGTTAATTTTAACATGTACAGTGGCTGTTTTGTGCTGTGTTGGATGTTTTGTGAGGTATTGGATGAAAAACTTACTCTTTTGTTGTAAAAGATAAGGTTGAACTTAAGGTGTTTGTGGTGCCTTGTACAATATGTATAGCAAACTGCCATACTGTAAAGCTTTATCAGGTACCACACAGGTATTTTGTTAGGTTTTGCACTGTTGCACACATGTCTTTTGTTGTCAAAAGACCAAAACAGCAATTGGCAGGTAAGAGTCATTAGTATAACTCGGGCTAAACTCAGTATATCATGAAAGAAATACTTTAAGTGATTTTTTTTTTTTTTTTTTTTAGATAAGCAAATGTAATTTTTGCGTGGATATTGCCTATGGAATTTAGTTTTTGAGGTAACACTTGTTTGTCCATCAACCTGGCTGTTTCCTTAGCTGATGCTTAAGTGTATTTTTCCTAAGTACCATACTGTACTGTACTGTACTGTACTGTACTGTACTGTACTGTACTATACTATACTATACTATGAAGAAAATTACCCTCAGTAGTTGCCTCTTGATGGTTTTACAGTATTCTGTTCATAATATAGTTTTATTTACTGGCATCAAGTTCAAGTGAAGGATCCCTATTTATCTCTGATCATTACCAGTTACCCGTACATGGTTCTCTACATTTTGTCAAGTTTAGTTTGTACATTCAATGATGTGATTCTCTCCAATTTGTAGTACTGTACATTACTGTAATTTTTTAATGCTTGTTAGATAACCTACCAGCCTTTCCTGGATCATTCTTGTTTGATATCTCTGTTGTTTGCTTTCCATTGAAATACAGAATTCATTGTAGTTAATATATTAATGCATCACTTTTATCACTGGATGATTAATACAGTATACCTGTGTGCTTTCACCTCAGCATTTTACTTTAACTTATAAGGTGTCACTCAATGCAACAATTATCAAGACAGGACAATTTATTTGAAGAGTGTCATCATTAACATAACTTGGGTTTAAATGTTCCTAAGGACACAACCATCATCTTCACTGATGTCACATTGAAGACTTCTGCATTGTTGCCACTGAAGTACATTCATTATCACAAATAGTTGAAGCTTTTCTCTTAAAATTTAGTGTCATCCGTGGAGAAACTGGTAATGGTGTGTGGCTAATGAGCCGATCAGTGGCAAAGAGGATAAGAGGAAAATAGAAGAAGGCACTTAGATTCCTACAGTAGATGGTCTGTCTCTTGTAAAGGTCTTTAAAAGTGGGGTGCTTCCTTGTTTGAAGTACATTACAGTGTACTTCCATCCCATTTGATCCTGTCCAAAGGAAGGCCACCAGATTGGTGCCTTCACTATGGAACCTCAGTTACCCAGAGATTAGAATGCCTGCAGTTGCTTAGCTTATACTTAAGATGGCAAGGGGTGACTTAATAAAATTTATGAACACCTCAGAGGAGAGGACAATATTCAGTTGAGTGTCTATAGCTGGAGGATGTCTGCTCCACTAGGGCTGACACCTTCAAGTTGAAGAAGCCACAAATTCAGGAAACTGTAAGGCCCTGTATGGGCCAGTCGGCCTCCTGCAGTATCCCACTTTCTTATGTTCTTATGTTCTTAAACTTTTTTGGAGTGAAGATTATGAACTCTTGGAACAATTTGCTAGAGAACATTGTGATGGCACCAAGTCTGAACTCATTCAAGACCAGACTTGACCAACTTAGCACAGGTACAGATACATTCTTGAGCCAGTACCATACATGCCCAGTACTTAACAGAGACGTAACTGACTGCCCAAGCGACTAACAAGCCAATCATTGGCAAAGAGGATAAAACTAAAAGTAAATTAAAATTTTCTCATAATAATCATAGATATGGTAATTTCTGGTGTAGGGTAAGGGAACCTTTGCTTTACATTTGTGTTTAAGTAAATGCTTTGAGTCAGCCTTTATGCTTTTGAATGATGAAAACTATTGCTTGTTGTGCATCAATAAAACTTGCATACATTAACAAAATTACATGATATGTGAATGAACATTCATGTAGATAAACAAACAGTAATACAAACTGCAATTAGCATCAGTGCTAACCAAACACAACTTACCTCACTTATTCTGATACTATTATTGAGTGTGCAAGTGGGTTTAGTATTGATGTTGTGCAGTGTGATGCCAAGGATTTTATAGTTTACACTATATATATATATATATTGGAGTGTTAAATAGTGTACTGTACTGTAATGTGTAAATCATATAGGCTTCAGTTAGCTTTTGTTCTAGTGCAACCAACTACAGTACTATATTGAAATACAGTACTATTGTATATTAGCAGCCTGTGTATTTTTTGTATGGTACTGTACATTAGAAATAGTGTACTGTATTTAAAATTATTTTAAAATCATGATATTGTACAGTACTTGTAATCACCAGACATTTTAAGGGATGGTGAAGAGTTCTTGGAGCCACGAATCGATAGTCATTAGACCAAGAACCCACTGCAGATAGGATGAATGCTTGACAGAGTTAGGTAAAAAACCTGTCATGATCATAACTTTGTTAGGCCTATTAGGATGGTGTAACAGAGCAAGTGTCATGTAAACCCAGTAGCTATGTGTGTTATAGATTTAAAGTACCGGGTTTGAGGGATTACGGCTAATGGATATATTACTGTACCCCGCTATTACAGTACAGTACTTGTTAGATAGTACATTAATTATGAGTGACATTTACAGTAATAGTACAGTACACAAGTTTCAGATTAAATAGGCCATGATCATATTAGACACACCCACTTGTGCTTACTGACAATTTCATTTGTCAGATTATGGTTGGCATACAGTATTTTGATACAGGATTGATACTACTTTTCTAACTGGCATTAATTCCCTATGATATAATATCAGATTAATTAGGAGTGGGATTCATTCCCTGTTTATTTGTCCATGAAATATTATTAAGTACCATATCTCTTTTCAAAGGTGATAAGTTTTTTAAGTGTATAAATTTCTCTTACAGGTTAAATTGGCCATGGTTAAACTGTGGTAGATCTTCATGGCCCGATGGCCCCCCAGATGCCTCATGCGGGTACCATGAGCACCAACACAATAGGCCGGTCTGCTCGAGCTAATTATAATAAGGAGGTAAGTCTATCTTATCTTAAATGTGGTTGAATTTTGTGTTTTTTTTTTTTTTTTTTTTATTGTATGTGACAGATTGGCTTATTAAAAATGTGATTGATAATTTTCAATGTGTATCATCTTTACACCTCTCAATTTTGTTTGTGGTGGATTAAAGGGGAACAGAAGCTCAAAGATGGGAAATTGCATTGGTGACAAACTTTGATGAATCTTGCATTTTTTCTTGATAGTTTTAAAGTTTTTGATACGGCTCCCGTGTTTTATTCTGCCTGAATCTTAAATGTTTGTGATTTATAAAATTTTCTCCAATTGCCACATCCATGCAGTTGTGGAGGATTTACTCCCAACACTGTTATAGCGCAGGAATGGGGTGTTTTGGGTAGACATTCCCATGTATAGTATGAGCATGTGTTTTATCCAAAGTTTATTTCTATAAAGATTTTTTGGGCTAACTTGCCAAATTATCGATGAAAGGAGAAAGTCCACCTTACTCTTTTTATTATTGTTATGAATGATCTCATCTCCATTCCCCCATAACAGCACATCATTCCATCATTCTTAATAATGCCACCACTATTCCATAGAAGATCGATGTGGTCAAACTTCATCATCAGTCACCTTTCTCATTTCTCTCAGTTTTCATATGTGGAATTCCTTTCCTTCAAGCCTTTCCATTCATATACAAATTACAATACTTTTTAAATGTTAAGCATTCACCCACCTCTTATTACACAACTGATTGTACACTCGGTAAAAAAAACTACAGTTACATTTCCTGCGTGAAACAAACTGACACTACAAACGAAGTGTTTCAAAAAGCCCCCCCCCCCCCCGAGGTATTCCTCGCATTGGTAGTCCTGCGCGTGTATGGGTTTGGCCACAAGTGCTTGAAACAAGTCAGCGTTAGTGCTGCCACACTAACTCAATTTGAAACTTGATAGGAACTCTATGCCTCATTTCTCTCCATTGAATACACATTGTGAGCGGTGTTGTAGCACCCCAATATTGTGATTTATGTAATTAGTGCTACCAATATTTCCTGATATCTTACATAAAGAATGTGTATGTTATCTGAACTGTGGAGCTATTCAGATGTTTCGGAACAGCACTGTATATTTTCCAATACGAATAAAGAGTGACAATGTGGCCTTAGCCCAAAGTGAAGTAGCAATACAAATACAGATTCAAAATTCGGTTGCAAAATAATCTTATACCTTTACTATATCCACTAATTCTACCAAATATATAATGCATTCCTATATGGCAACTCATCTACTTCCATGGTTACTGTAGTCCACGGTGTGTGGAACACAGTAAGATCTCGTATTTCGTGCGATTTCATTTCGCGTTTTTTAATTTCGTGAGAGGGTTTAGATGTTAACGCCTTCTGGTTATTTTCAAGATTACTGTCTAGTGGAACACTTTCACTTTCACCAAGGATATTGAACACACTGAAGGATATTTGTAACAAGATATTTCTATTTACAAGTATTTACACATGAACGTGTGTAGGTATGGGAGTGCCGGACTGTCAGTCAGGAGAGATGTCAGGAGTGTAGACATTAGATGTGAAGCGTGGGGTCATATACTGTATTTCAACACAGAACAGGTGGTAAATAGGGGTCTTCTCCTCGACAAAATTGGCGATGGAGAGCAAGTATCCTCCTAACCGGCACAGGTACTGGAGAACGGACCCGGGAGGAACAGCACAGAGGCTAGGGCTGACAACGTCCTAGCTGGCGTGCTAACATGCAGGGCTAGGAGTGCAGCTGTTCACACCAATGTGACCATGAATAAAAAGAGAGGTAGCAGGTGACCAACTGGGTCAGAGGAAGGGAGCCAAGTGACCACCCATACGATCATACCCGCACTATGACTCGGTTCGAGCTACCCATGAGCAACACCTGCTTCATATGCAGAGAACAAACCCAACACTGTACCAACAATCATTGAACTGGAATATAAACCCCTTTCATACAGTACTCGACATACACATACTATGTGTTACCAAGTTTTCCCAAAAATTTGTACAGTGTTCTTTCTTAGTTGCCAAGTGTATAAACCCCGACACAATTACCATATTTTCCCCCTTTACTGAATATACCCCCATACATATACCTTCCCTTTTACTGAATATACACCCACAAGACACTTTCCCTTTTACTGAATACACCCCATACAGACACTTTCCCTGTGATTGAATATAGCTACCATGCGCAGTGACTTTTCCACACCAGCACTTTCCCTGTTAATGAATATGCCCCACATGGATACTTTCCCTTTTACTATATTTACTCCACATACCAAGCACTTTCACTGTTAGCTATTGAATATACACTACACAGACACTTTCTCTGTTATTGAAAATACACCACAAGGACACTTTCACTTATTGAATTTATACATATACCCTTACTGACAGTTTTCCTTTTCATGAATACACTCCTCAGAGACATTTGTTGCCCACTTACTGTTGTTTGTATCTAATCATAACAGCAATGGTGTCATGTTCAGCATACTCACCTTGCAAGTGAGTGGTCTTGGGTTCGACCCTCAATCTGGTGAAACTATGGGCAGTTATTATTGCACCATTTGGCTGTTTTCCCAATGCCTGTAGTAGCTACTTGAAAACTTGTATGTTAATTGTTTAACAGATTATGTTCTGGGATAATGGTTAACCAGTGCAATTGGCGTGTGGTTGTTGTTTTGGCGACAGCTTCTACAACTCGACAAATTCATACTTAAGTGACCTTAACTTGTCAGTCTCAGACATGATATACATATTGAGAGTTTCTTTAACTACATTGAACCCAGTTAAGCTGCTGTCTAACCAGTATGCTGCTTGCATAAATCAGACTTATAAACTGTCTTTTCTTTGCACAGTATTACCTCCTCAAATTAAATAAATTGAAGTTTTGTATTTTGCTTACAATGCAAGTTCTAGCTTCAAATTTATATACTGTATATGACTTCTTGTCACAGCTTGGAATAGGAAGGTACTGAATAAAGAATATATTATCAACTGTGTTCATTTCTCACCTATCCTTCCCTACCTTGGAGAGGATTTATTAGGTACATACAGTAGGTATGGTATATTAACACATAACCACTGAATCAAGTTAGATACAGTACATTATATCAGATTTATCCTCTTGAGTTATGTTATTTTTTTCTTTACAGGCTGAGAAAGGTTATGCAGTACAATACAGTATTTTATAAATTGGATAAACTTTTTAAACTAGCTATTGGCTAATGTTTTCTTGTAGTTATTTTTATACAGTGCTGTATGGTCATTTCCTAAAACTTTTACAGTATTTCAATTGAGCAGTTATTGTGTTGCATATATACTGAGTTTTGTGACGTCTAATGTGAATATTTTATCAACAGGCTTTACATCAGATACGAGCATCTTTGCTGCCCTATGCTGCGGGCAGCATCCCTCGGGAGAGGCTTAGCCCCATTAGCCCGGGTGCTCAATGCCAGGGCTCCTTCAACCTGGGCCCCTCCGAGGAAGATATTCAGAGGGCCTACAATGGATACCCCCCTAAGCCTGCTCCTCAGGTTGAAGGCAGCAAGATCATACGCAAGTCCAGCTTTGACCGGGAGCTGAATATACATAGAGGTAGTCCTGCACTTGAGAGCAGCAATGCTAGCACACGCTCAGATAGTCCAGGTATTGGGGGACAAATATACTATGCCAATAGTATGCCTGTCAGACAATATGCAGAGTGCCCTCAACCTAGATTTGGGAGTGGAGAACCTTTAGTTGGGGATATAAACCATCCTGCTGTCTCACGACAGTACAGTAGTTCATATCCTATAGCACCAGAGGCACCCCCTCCACCCCCACCAAGAAGTTTGGGTGCAGCAGCTCCACCTCCAACCCCGCCACGAGGCACTACCCCACCACCACCACCATATCCCTGTGCCACGAGCTGTGCTCCCACCATAGTAACCACTATTGGACAGAGACCTATGTTACTTTCAAGACTCTCTCCAGGTCCTAGCAAGAATAAGTCTCAAGCAAATTATGTAAATATCAATAATGTGTCACAAAGCTCAACCTCTCAAAGGGGTACTAGTCCTGTTTCGTTTGGTGGGCGACAGCCAGTTGTGATGCAGAGTAATGCTCAGGTGCAACAACAGCTTACTCATCAAATGCAGGCCCTTAATATAAACAATGGTAACAACTATGGAAACCAGTTGGACCGCCCACCTCCATACCCAGTAGGATCAGCCTTAAAACATGTTGGTGCAGTCAAGTTGGCAGCACCCCCACCTTCATATAATGCTACCATGCAGAACAGACAAAGTCCCACCCAAGACTGTAGAAAAAGTCCTCCGCAGCTAACTTTCCAAGGACAGAACCCCATCATGACCCCTCATCCAGTCTCACCATCGTCACTCTCCCCACCTTCATCCATGTCTCCTGTTTCACTTCCACGTGGAGGCCAGACTGCTCGTCAAGCCAAAACTCCAACTCCCATCATCATGCAGTCCGTTAAAAGTACCCAGGTGCAAAAACCCATTCTTCAAACAGCTGCAGCCCCTACGTCCCCACCTGTGTCAGCGCCGCCGCCTTCTTATGCCACTTCAATCCAACAGAAACAGGCTCAAGCTGCTGCTGTTGCCCAGGATGTGCCTAGTATAGCTCTAGCACAAATGATGTCCCAGGATAGTGGTGGGTCATCCTCTCCTGGGCTTTCCTCATGCAATTATCAACTAGCAGTAACGTGCAATAGTGGAGTAGTGCCAACTACTGATCCTCCAAGTTATCACTCAACAATACAGGCGATGGCAGCAGCAGCTCGAGGCTACAGCCCTGGTTATTTATCTCAACCTGTAGCTAGTATACCTGTTCAGGAAACTCCAGTGCAAGAACTAGATTTGTCTTCCACTCCTTTGGCTCACATACCAATCACCCAAGTTAGTACAGTTGATTCCATTATTACAACGCAGCCAGCATGTGGAGTGGAAACAGTCAGTAGCTGTTATGAGCCTCAGTTAACACAGAACATTAGTCATCCAACACTGCAAAGAAAATTCTCTCCGGTAATGGCAGACACTGCCTCTATAGCATCTCGATCTGAAAGTCCTGTTTCTTCCGTCAATTCCCATGACACACATGCTTTATCTCAGTCCCCTGTTTCGTGCCTTTCTACTGCAACTTCATCTCCATCCACACAATCAGATCTAACGTTAGAGTCCGGTTACTCTTCTGGCCAGTCATGTCGAGGTATGCCTCCACCACCACCTCCGACAGTACAGAAGACTACTCATCACTCACCCATACCCGAACGAAAGAAATTAAGTACAGAAATGGAGCTCCAGAGATGTGAATCCAAGGTCCAGAATTTGTCTCCTCAGGCCTTTAAATTTTACATGGAACAGCACATTGAAAATATTATTAAGTCATGTGAAGAAAGAGAGAACCGAAGAATGCAGCTAGAGAAAGAGATGAAGAAGATCGGTTTATCAGACAAGGATCAGTCACAAATGCGGAAAATGCTCTCACAAAAAGAATCTAATTTTATTAGACTGAAAAGAGCAAAAATGGACAAACAGCTTTTCCGCAAAGTAAAAACAATAGGTAAGTTTACTTTTTAACCTTGATTAACTGGCTTGGCATAAGTTCCATATATTGGTGATCAGAATTTTGAAAGGAGTTCTTATTAATCAGAGGTGACAACAATATTGGTCGCCTCTAAATGTAATATATATCTATATCAACAAAAGTTTATCCTATAATGAAAGCTTATGAGACACTATATTACCTTTGTATTTTTTCGAGTCCAGAAGAACTATGTTTAAATTTTTTTTTAAATCAATGGTAACATCGTGTACAGATATCTTGATGATGGTGTACAGATAGTATGGTTAATAATTGCTTCCCAATTAACAGGTGTAGGAGCATTTGGGGAGGTTGCCTTGGTATGTAAAATTGACACCCACCGACTATATGCCATGAAGACCCTGCGTAAAGCTGATGTCCTCAAGCGTAACCAGGTAGCTCACGTAAAGGCAGAGAGGGATATTTTGGCGGAAGCAGATAATGAATGGGTTGTCAAGCTGTATTATTCATTTCAGGTTAGTATATTTTTGTGTTTTTCTGTTATTGTATAATATGAATGGTGCCGAGTTGTTTAAAGTGAAGGGACAAACTAGTTGGAAATCTTGGGGCTTTGTTGTAGAGGGGAACACCAAAGCAGAACATATTAATTGTAGCAGAAATATGATAACAAATGAGAGATAGTCTATGTTACTTATATTTCCAGCTGCCCTGTGTCAAATCAGGGAAAGGCATGCAGTGGAAAAAGAAAGATTTGTTTCATCCACCTTTGTATTTATGTTAGTGTAAACATTCAGATATAAGACCCATATTAAAACTGAAACTGCTTTTGTTTGACAACGTTCTTTTGTTCGCTTTCAGTATTCTAAAATATTTTATCATAATAGTACAGATTTAATTTGTAAAGAAGTAAATAGAATTTATTGTTTGGATTAACATAGAGCACATAATGACACATTTCCTCTTTCCACAGGATAAAGATAATCTTTACTTTGTCATGGACTACATCCCAGGTGGTGATCTCATGTCTCTTCTAATAAAATTTGGCATTTTTAAAGAAGAATTAGCAAGGTAAGTGTTGAAAACTGTGTGTGTTTTAAATGAACAAATTGCATGATATCTGACTTAAAATTTTTAGGCATAAAGTTGGGACAAATGATCACTGTGGCTTAAGTTGCAAGTCAAGCCAGAAATTCTAGAAGAACAGTTACACAAATGTTGCTCTGTTCTTTAAAAAAAGAACTTCAGTGGTACAGTATCATGATTAGTTAAGTCAGTAGTTTTTACTGGGTGAATGAATTTTATTTATTAATTTATTTATTAATGACAAAATTTCTAGCCTTAACCCAAGTCTAGATTGTGGGAAGTGAGAAGTATATGTACAGGTAAACCTTGAGATATGATGGGGTTAGGTTCCGGAAAAACCCATCGCTAGGTGAATTATCGTAAATAGGGAGCATTATAACATGGGGTTCAATGGGTTATGTTCCCAGCCAGTCCCCAAACACACATGTATCACAGACAAAACAATTCCGGAATTTTCCAGAAAATTGTTCCCAAAGCCGAAATTTTCCGGAAAATTACGGCTTTGGGAACGATTTAACGAGAAAATTTCAATTACGGCTATCGGAGAGTTCCAGGTTTGAGGGATTCCAGCTAATGGAGATATTACTGTAATATGTTCTGAATGTATAGATTTTGCTTTTGTATAAAGTGGTTCATTATTGTTGGATAAAGTTGGGATAAGATTTTGTAGTCTTGCTCGTTTGTAAATTATTACTGTATTAAGCTTAAATTAGGCTTTATTTTGTGATATTTTTTGTGAATAATTGATATGGTGTGTAATGAATGTGTCTCCATTTTTCAGATTCTACATTGGGGAACTGGTGTGTGCAATAGAGAGTGTACACAAGATGGGTTTTATTCATCGTGACATCAAGCCAGACAACATCCTCATAGACAGAGACGGACACATAAAACTCACAGACTTTGGTCTCTGCACTGGCTTCAGGTGGACCCACAATTCCAAATATTACCAGAGAGTTGGTGAGTATTTCTTCCATATTTGCAGTCATGTGGTGTGAGAGTTTTTAGTTTTGTGATTATGGGAAAAGAGTGAATTAGGGTACCTGTAAAGAATTGTTTTATTTTAATCAGCTGGTAACTCATATCATTTGAAAGATCTGTCCATGTTGAAGATAAAAGCACGTGTATGGGTGTTTCTACATACAGTATGGTATGGCTTTGCCCTATTTTGTTACTCTTTACCATTTTTTTTTTGCTTCTTTGAAGTTTATATCATAAGTTACTTCAAGTAATTGTTAAATTGTAATATGTTTATGCTCTGGTTCTTTGAACATTGATGGAAAGATCTTACACAAGATATATTACATGTAGTCTTATTATGTGTGTGTGCCCTGTCTGTTTGAAAAATTCTGAATACTTTGTACCACAATTTAACTATTTTTGTTTTTGAACTTCTAAATTTGTCATACGTGAAGTACTCTCTAGAGGAAACCCTTATGGATTACTGAAGCTTGGCTCAGAATTTTGCCATGATTGATTTTTAATAATATTTTAGAGAATTTTTTATAGCATAGATTATGTACATGTCTGTTTTCTATACTCTTTTCCCACTCTTTTATATTGGGCCAAGAGATACAGAAAACTCATTCAGGGAGAAAATGGTATTTGAGAATTATGCAAGAACGGTAGACTGGAAAATGCTATTACATAGAGTAGAAATTACTTCACTTGTCCATATTGATATACAGTAAGTCTGTGCTTAACGTTGTCCCGCTTAACGTTGTTTCGGTACGTCTCTAAACTTTAAGAGACCAAAAATTCGTTTAACATCCCTGTGATCGGATACTACGTAGTTTTGCGCCGTCACGGACTATTTTCTATGGCGCATCACCCGCTCTTGTCTGGTCCAGCTATGCTCTTTCGGCTTGGCACAAAGTCTCAGCAACTCGCCGCCCTCCTCCTCTCCCGCCCTCCTCCGCTCCCACCCTCCTCCTCTGCTCCCGCCATACTCCTCCCCTCCCACCATCCACCTCCTCTGCTTCACTATCCACCACACACTCACTTTACCACCCCCGCCCATCGGTGAGTACCAATACAAACTTAGTAGTTGTATATGTATGCACTATTTTCTATAGAAATGGCAATGGTTTTATGTATATGAAATGTATTTCATGGGGCAAAGGGAGGCTCAGGAACGTAACTCCCGTATTTTATCTATTTCTTATGGGAAATTAATCCGCTTAACCTTGTTTCGTATAACGTCGCATTTTTAAGAATGTAACCCCGACGTTAAGCGAGGACTTACTGTGTATACTGAAACACCTCTTTATTGATTTTCAATTCTTAATAATAATTCATGTGCCTTGCAAGTTTGAGTTTTTAGGAAGTAATTTGCATAGGGTTGGATGCCTTTGATAGACTGGAGTTCAGTCTAATGCTGTAAAAGAAAATAAACAACTTCATTTGTTTTTCAGGTGACCATAATAGGCAAGACTCTATCGATCCTTGTGGAGATAATGACCTTGTCTGCCACTGCAACGACCTCAAACCCTTAGAGAGAAGACGTAGAAGACAGCATTTACGATGCCTGGCACATTCTCTGGTCGGCACTCCAAACTACATCGCACCAGAGGTGTTGTCACGTACAGGTTACACCCAGCTCTGTGATTGGTGGAGTGTGGGAGTGATCCTTTATGAGATGTTGGTTGGTCAGCCACCATTCCTTGCTAACACACCACCAGAAACACAATATAAGGTGAGCATTCTCTCTTTATTTTTTGACAAAATGAACATTTGCTTTAATGAATAGCAATCACATTTTTACACCCTTTTTTCTTGAAGAATGTGAACGTTAAGCTATCACATGGTCAAAATGGCCACTCTGGGTGCATTTATTCTTCACTATTATTTTTGTTAAGTGTATAGTGGTGAACTTTGTGTAAATTACCCCCTAGTTGATCACATTTTCTCTCACTGGAACAAACCCCCAATACTGTATATACAAAAGGAGTTAAAAAGAAAAGAAGAATGAAAATTCTAGAACCGTAGGAAACAAAGAGAGAAAATAATAGCAATAACTTTTATTGGTTAAGTTTTGAAACTAGAATATGTATCGAATGACATATTGGTCAGATACATAGTGTAATAGATGATACTTATGTTGTTGGGCTCATAATCTGTTATGATAATGAATCCCTACTGTTTGTGATTCATATAGCTTGGAAGTTACGGAGAGGTAATTTGATTAGCCATACATTTATGTGTCAAGTATTTCAGGTGTTTGCATCACATCCAGTAAGGGTTCACCTACACCGGTGGTCCCCAACCTGTAGTTGTGAAATATTTGGGATTAATTGCAAGAGTGAAATTAATGAAAATATTTAATAACTTGATACAACTGTCGTGTACAGGACGTGTGTATTTACCACAGAGAGAGAGAGCCAGCCTTCTCACTGGGGTAAATACATACATCCTGTCCAAGAGTAAATGTAAAAAGTATGTAACTGGTAACAGCTAGATGTGTAAAACTGCAAAAAACTGTACTGTACAGTATATATACCTGTATGAGATTTTAGTTTCTTGAATGTAGATCAAAAGTCTTGGTGCTCTCCATTATATTTACAGTGATAAATGTAACCCAGAGTCTACAAAAGGTTAGGGACCACTGACCTGTACAGTAATGTAACATTTTGATGGACTGTTGAATTTTTAGTTAGATCAAATATATTGAATAGACAATAACTTACAGCATATTGCCATCCCCTTGATCAATAAACACAAGGAAGATTTGCAATTAATTTGACACTCAGTCACCTGGATTATGGGTCAGCAATTTGCATCACTGCTAGTATCACATAAGTGCCACCAATTTATATATATTTATGAGCCTATTTGATGTACAGTACCTGCATTTCTTGATATGTACTTCAAGAATACTGGATACACAGCATGTAAAATACTTTATTGTAGAAGAGATGGAATGGACTGATATAAGATTAATATTATTTTATTTAATATTTATTTTTGTTTAAATATTCTAATGGTGGAAAGATGTCAAAAATAACCCCAGATTTTAGTTGAACAATAGATGTTTGAAGTGAATTACATGAAGTTGGCTTTTAAGTACTGTATTCCATCCTTTAATTAGAGTGTCTTAATTGTATGATTTTGTAGGTACGCTTTATCAAATTTAATTGCAGGGTCAGGCTGAAATTATGCACTTCCCAGTCAGCAAAATTTGGTATATCAGATATTTCTAGAATATAATGTATTAATACTTTTATTTTAACTAGGTTATCAACTGGGAGACAACTCTTCGGATACCCAAACAAGCCAAATTATCGCCAGAAGCAAAGGATTTGATCCTTAATTTGTGCACACACCCAGAACAACGCCTAGGACGCAATGGTGCTCAGGAGGTCAAGAGTCACCCTTTCCTGGAATCACTAGACTTTGAGGGAGGATTGCGGAAACAACAAGCACTCTATTTGCCCAAGATCAAACACCCAACAGATACCTCAAACTTTGATCCCATTGATCCGGACAAGCTGCGACCAAGTGAACCTAATGAGAGTGACCTAGAGTGGGTTAACAACAGCAACCAGCCACTCCATGCTTTCTTTGAGTTCACATTTAGAAGATTCTTTGACAGCACGCCGGGAGGCAGTGGGAATGATGAAAAAGATAGTCAACACCCAGTCTATGTATAATTGGGTCTTTACAGGCAGCTCTAGATGTGATAGGATCTGACATTTTGTCTTTTATTCTTTATGAAAGTAATTTTTCTGGTCATGGAAAAGGAGAATCTTTTAGAAACTTTATATGAGGATCAAAATATCTGATCATATCACAGTAACTGTGATGGTGGGAGGTAGTGGTAGCACGCATTGTCACGGCAGGCCAAGTTCAGCAGCATATTAATATTAGCTTGCTTGACATAGGAGCAACTGTGTTTTACCTCAATCTACCACTAGCTCTTTGAATTTTAGGAAAATTTTTGGCAGAAAGGAGTAGCAATCTCGTGTTGTTAAACCCAGTGCTGGGAAAAGCAAGCTGTGATTTTGTATATTTTCGAGTGTTAGATATGGTGATATATTTGAAAAGCAGGGTATGTATGATATGGGATTTGATGAACCAAAGACACACCAAGAAACAGATTGAATTTCAGCTAATAGGGACACATTCCCAGTATCTTCCCCAGAATGCTTTTAAATAATAGTGAATAATTTGGTGCCTTCTGTAGTGTTTTATTGCTTAATATATTGGTGAATCATATGATGCTTATATCAGGGTTTAGAGTCAGCCATATTCTTCTTCTTATTGTACAACGATAGGAAGTAAAGAGTTTGGATGTGTCTAATATTTTCTCTGTCAAGGTATTGCTCTCACTTGTCTTATTACTACAAGACCAAAGTCACAAAGTCCCAATTAGCAATGGTTTAATTTGTTTTATACTGTAATGCACTTTACAGTGAAATATGAAATACTCGTATGTTTGTCATAGACAATTGTACATATATTTTTATATTGTATGCTAAGGTCTTGAGTGGATGAACGATGTTTTTCATCTTAACAGAATGAGTGTTAGGGCCCTTGGAACACATTTAATTAAGGAATCACCTTTTCCACCTAGCAAACAATCATTGTCTTCCCATCTGGGATAGGGTCTTTCCTCAAGTGTCTTCGATATATGGTAATTTTGCTACCATAATATTTGTAAATTATGTATAGCCTTATCTTATATGTTGTAAATGGCTGTATTGTTTTATGTAAATAATATTGCAGATAAAGAGAATTTTGCTTAACCTCCTTCTGACCTTTACATTTTTTTTTTGAGAATTAGTCCACCTGGGCACAGGTCAAACGACCCACAACGGGCCTGGGGGGATAAGAACAGAAAGAAATTGAATATAGAGAAAAACAGGTTACCCCTGTATACTGTGTTAATCTACACCATGATATACTGTATATATGGAGGTGGAAAACTGATAGAATGAATAATGAGCATACAGGATAGGTATAATGGAAATTATAGTACAGTGTAAAGAACCCCTCTATAAAGGGAAATGTGATAGAATGAATGTTTAAATTATTAAGAAGCTGTCTGTTAAGTACAAGTTATTGCAAAATCAAAAGTAAGAAGCATATGATGAATAGGAAGAATTTTTAATGGTATTTATTAATTCAGAGGAAATGGGGTCTTGAAAATGTGAGGGAAGTAGAAAACTATTTTTGAATGCTGTCCAGAGCTTTATCGGGAAAGTAGGACTCGAGCACATGTAGTCCCTAAGGTGGTTTCAATATATACATGAATGGGTTAGTAAGAGGGTTGAAAACAAGGAAGATAGAGGTGAAAGATTTGTGGATGATAATACAGGATGCAAAGGGAAGTGAGTTGGCTGCTGTTTGCAATTGACAGCTTAAGTGGGCAGTTGAAAGAAAATTCGTAAGTACCCCTGTACTTGTGAATGAGTTTGGTAAAGTGTGCCAAGAGAAAGTTGGAAATTGATGTGAATTAAGGTGGGTAAAAATTGAGAAGGGAAAAATTAAAGTTAATTTAAATGGAGATGGAATGAAGGAAGTGGAGTACAGTATTTCAAATATCTGGGAGTGGATGAATTGGCAAATGGAAACACAGAGTAATGGAATGGATTGAAAAAGTAAGGGGATTGAGAACAGCATGGAAAGTGAAAAATAGGGTTATGGGACCTGCACCAGGAAATGGTGCAGGAGATATCTGAGGCTTGGTGTGTCTAATGATGAACACTTGAAATATGTACAGTGTTCATGAGGGGTTTTTGGGATGAATCCCTAAGACTGCAGATGAACATAGTGAACATAGCCAGACTATTGTATTGTTTGATGAAGTCCTCAGAGATAGAACACGGGGAGAAAAGTGAAAGCATGGCAAGCTAACAAAGGGTGGTTGTAACTGGTGAAAAAGTGAAGGAGGAAGTAATTCTACTTGAAACAAGGACTGGAGAGGTAAAAATGAACTGGCCAATTTTTAGTAGCAAATGATTGGATCAAAAGAGATGACTGAATTCATGGTTGTAAAGGTGCCTGCAGGCTAACACTGTATTTATCTTGGGAAATACTCAAAGAAGAAGAGGATTCCCATATTATGGATGGTGCTATTAGTGTGGTAATAATAGACCATAGAGCACAGAACTGTTGTCATAGAAGGAATGGCGATGACATTAGACTAAGGCTGAGACCATTGGGCACATCCATCCCAAAGTTTACCAATTAGTACCTAACACAGAAATGAGGCAATAAGATCACAGCAGAAGTAAACCCAGTAGGTACAGTACAGACCAAAAGGCATGCCATGGCACTGAAGGAGAGGGCCTGAGTAATAGGAGGGGTGTGTGTTTTGTCTCAATAAATTAGGTGCAGTGAGGCAATATTGTTACCTAAGGAAGTACAGTACCAGTATATCATAATGGCTCCAAACCCAGATGGCCTGATCACGAGGACAGTAAATGAGGCCTTAATCCCATACAGAAGAATCGCTGTGGTAAATATAAAGATCATTGAATGAGTAATTGAGTTGTGTAGAGTCACCTTAGACACACCCACTTGGTATACCAACTCATTGCAGAAAACTAGTTAATATTTTCTGTAACCAACACTGATGTTATATATTCCAAATTTATGTCAAATATTTACCTCTTTTAACCACAATAGCGATGCTCTTTTATGAAACGTGTTTAAACGCATCTTAAATGACAGATAAATTGATGACATCATCTGCTACACACATTTAAGTTAGAAATCTGTGGTTACATCTCTTATGCTATTTTACACATGTGTTCTTTTTCCAATATATTTATAAATGTTATGATATTTTTTTATAATAACAAACTACTGAGTTCATCAATTCAAGAATAAATAATAAATATATTAGTGCCGTTGTCATTTCCCTGCAGAGGCTGCGCATGCGCCAACGATGATCCGTCCTCTCACAACAACCATGGCAGCCAGCGGGGTGAGTAACAGAGATGTCCATATATATCCCAAGTTATTTCTTCAATCATTAACTGTGGATGTAATTGGGTGCGCTGTAATGGTTTGTAAAAACTCGTTGTGAATACTTGTTGTAGTTGGAGTGACAGTTTCATTGAAATTTTTCTGATATTCTTTGAAAATTGTACAGCCGGTATGATGGCTTTCGTGAGCCTAGTGAAATCTTGTATGGTATTTGTACGTGATTGAAGTGGCCCTATAGCTTACTGCAGTTGACCTGTAAAGGTAATATTAAATGCGTTATGACTTTGTGTGAACAACCTTCTCATATTTGTTAGTTGCCAGAATAATGTTTGAGGAGTAAAGCATTGTTTAGAAAATATCCACTATTACTGTATAATGAAGGACGCAAAACACATTGTATCTGGAGTTGCCTTCTAAATGTTACTGAACGGCAATTAAAATAGTCCCAAATTGTTATATTCACCTTACTTGTATATTTGGCTTGGCCTAGACACTTACAATATGTCAGGAGTGAATGAATTACTACATGTGTTAAATTGAAGGGCTAAGGATCGCCACTTTTATACCATCTGTCATTGCATCATGATGCACGTGTTGGATTTAATTCACAAAGGAAATTCTGCTGGCACAGAAAGAAAAAAAAATCTGATGTGCAATCCGCTGGCAATGTCCCATTAAAGTACTGTACTGTATTGCAGCTGCCATTAAAGGTCCTTCAAGGAGGCTAGGGTCGGATTGTAATTGGCTGCAGAAAACACATAGGTTAACGTGAAGGGACCAACCTCCATTACCCATTATTTAAAGAAAATATTCAGGGATGATGTTATTACTCAGAATCGGGCAGCAGACATAATTTTGGAATAAAATCTGATGGCAGACATATTAAGTGAATCAAATTATATTATAACTCAAAGATTGAGAACCACAATGACATCAACCATTGTGTACAGTAATCAATATGAGACTACTGTATTGATTTTTGATAGTGTATGAGAACCGCTAACACCAGAAGTTGTTAAATTTCGTCCATTTTAGTATTTTTATAGTAGTTTGCACAACATACCTACCACCTACTCTTTTATCATATTCGAAACATGTCAAATTTTAAGATAAGTTTCTTCTATTACATTACCGTCGGAAACGTATAATAACGGAGATAGCGCATGCCAAATCTTTCTCCGTTTAATTCCATTAATCTTCAGCCATTATCGCCTACCCGACCTCCCATATGCGTTCCCGTAAACATCACGCGACCAATCAAAAGCTTTTTTTTTCAACCAATTAAAATAAATTGTGGTTTCTGCTTTTAGAATTTGTGGTATTTTTTGCCCAATCAGATTTGATTGTGATTTTGGGTCTCATGCTTCAAAATTCAAATTCATTTCAGACTATGGAAGTCTGTGATAAGAACAACATAAGAAAATAAGGAGTCTGCAATAGGCCGGTTGACCTGTGCATGGCAGCTCCTGTCAAGAGTTACTACCACTATCATTCATGAATCTCGGTCTGACTAATTACCCAAATGTAGCCGCAGTGAAGTCAAATAATGGTCCTACAAGAATAAATCGGACTGCCAACCACTTCTCGACTAGTATTTGGTGTCACAAAGTCACAAAAAATTGGAAAACTTAATTTAAACTGAGTTAATAGATCGCGTGCTTGTACCGAGGGAGCGAGTAATTACCCAAATGTAGTCGCAATGAAGTCAAATGATGGTCCTACAAGCGTACATCGGGCTGTGAATCACTTCTCGATTATTATTTGGTGTCATAAAGTCATTTATAAAATTGGTAAACTTAATTTAATCTGAGTTAGGTTAGGTTAGGTACATGCACTCGATCTATTAACTCAGATTAAATTAAGATTACCAATTTTTTGTGATTTCGTGACACCAAATACTGGTCGAGAAGTGATTGGCAGTCCGATTTATTCTTGTAGGACCATCATTTGACTTCATTGCAGCTTCATTTGGGTAATTACTCGCTCCCTCGGTACAAGCACGTAATCTATTAACTCAGATTAAATTAAGTTTTCCAATTTTTTTTTTTACTTTGACACCAAATACTAGACGAGAAGTGATTGGCAGTCCGATTTATTCATGTAGGACCATTATTTGACTTCATTGCTGCTACATTTGGGTACATTTGGGTAATTAGTCGAACTCATGAATCTTGTCTGGCCTCCTTTTAAAAATTTCCACCATTCCAGCACTTACTACAAAGTTGCTAAGCTTGTTCCACTCATCCACCACTTTATTTGTGAACCAGTTCCTTCCTATCTCCCTCCTAAACCTAAACTTATCCAACTTAATTCCGTTGCTACGAGTCCTATCCTGCTCGGATATTATAAGAAACTTTATCTCTATCGCCTTTATTGATTCCTTTCACCCACTTAAATACTTTTATCATGTCTCCCTGCATTCTTTGTCTTTCTAGGGAATGCAAGTTTAGTTTCTGTAACCTACCTTGATATGAAAGGTTTCTAAGTCCCGGAATCATTTTTATCATGCTTCGCTGCCCCGACTCCAGTGAATTCATATCCATTCTATAATAAGGGCACCAGAACTGAACCGCATAATCGACTGGCTAGCGCAAGATGTAGTTGCAATAAGACCTCTGCATTCTTATTACTTACACTTCTAGATGTAAAACCTAATACTCTGTTTGCCTTATTTCGAACATTAACGCACTGTTTTCTAGGCCGTAGGTTCGGGCTTACAAGTACCCCTAAGTCTCTTTCACAAGTTGACTTCTCTAGATTGATGTTGTTAAGGCTGTATACATTGACAGTATTTGTTCTTCCAATATTAAGTACGCTACACTTTCTGGTGTTGAATTTCATTTGCCATTTTTCTGACCACTCCTGCAGTTTATTTAAATCTTCCTGAAGTGCATTTGCATCCTACCCTGAATTAATCTGCCGCCCTATTTTGGTGTCATCCGCAAACTTGCTTATGTCACTTCAATTATATGGAGTTAATTGTGCGTTTTTGGGAAAAACGAACAATCGATAGCATTTTTAGATCTCTTGGTGTTCTCCCGACCGCAGTAAAGATTTTAATTCGGAATAAGGTAAGAAATAAGTGATTCCTTCATATGGTGAAAGTCTGGTTACATAAAATCACTGAGAGTTAGGTTAGGATAGGTTAAGTCAGGATAGGTAAGGTCAGGTTAGGTTATCCAAAAAAAGGGTAGGTTTATATATTTTTCTAATGGTTTTTGTTGTGTTTTGTATTCAATTGGCCATGATTTTTGTTAGGAAACGCCCCACCCAAAATCCCGGTTCCCAACAGGATCCTCTATCTTGTTGGGGGTAGAAGGGGGCGATAACTAAAAAACAGGCAATTTCTGATGGATATCAAGGTCAGAATCAATCAAAACACACAAAAATATACTAGAAAAGCATAGTTTTGACTTTATAACTTGTGTGAATTTCTATAAATTTACCTTACATGTTATTAGCATTACAGGCATATAGTATTTTGAAAGGCGAAGTTTACTAAAACCTAATGGTATTATCATTTCGGTCGCGGATTTTAAGTTTTGGAATTGGTAGTTTAGACAATTCTAAGACTTTTCTTAGTATTTCACTTGTTGCCAACAAGTAAACGGTTTACGGTCCATTCACCCACACATGGGAATCGGTTTGCCCACACTTTGTCAATTTCTATTTGCTTATTCATTTCCCCCATCCTCCACGCTCTGCCCACTACAGGTGATTTATGATTGTAGATAGAGAAAAACTAAAAAATGAGAAAACTACTGATAATCAAAATAAAAAGTTTTGCTTCTTTTAAAATACTCAACTTACTGTAATAAGGACGTCAGGAAAATATGAACAAAATTGAAAAACTCCTGGTGGTAGCGGGCAAGGATAATGTACTAGTAAGGATAGTTCACCAATCACACTACACAGCTCTGTGATCTCACTGTTGTAACACGAGTCATCTGGTAACCTCCATGTTTACTCGCATCTGGTCCCAGGACCAGTGTATCAACAATTATAGATATTTGTGTAATATACGGGTGCACTAGCAATGCTCAAATCCCAAGCAGAGCACAGCAAGTATTACAGATTTCCCGGCGATAAGAAAGCTTGTGATAATGGATAAATGCCTGCAAGCGCTCTGATAAAATAAATGCCACATTAGGCTAGCTGAGAACTTGTTTGAAGAGATTTTGTATTTCTTTTGTATTTCCTTAATCTGGAATGTCTGTTGATATCCAGTATTTATAAGGTGAGACATTTATCTTGCAGTATGTGGCCAAAAAAACTGGACATATTTAATAATCTTGAAAAAATGAAAGTACATTGGTATGTGGGTTTCAGGTGTCAACACTGTGCTGGTTTCAAAATGCAAAGGAAGATTTCTTTTATTATCTTAATTCTGCAATGTCAGTCAATATCAGGTCATCCAGAAAATAATATTGACAAAAATATAAGAAAAACCAGTTGCATCACCTAGTACAGGGGGCCCCCCTAAGTTTGCGGATTTTTACTTCACTGTTCTCGGTTATTTGCGGATGTACCCTAGAATGTCTGTGGGTACTCTAAAAGTTGACGGCATTTTAGCAGCTGGGACAGGGAGCCATTTGTCTACCCTCAAATCCGTTCTCTATTACAGTCCTTTATTAATAGAGCACGGATGGAGGGCAGATCGTCACATTTTTAATAAATTTGTTTCAGATTATTTGTGAGAGGATTTCCAATTATTCTTTATCTGCACCTGTATGTGTTTTGTATATGTATGTAGACACAGTATATAAATGTAGTATATGAGGTAATACAGTAGTTATATATGAATGTATTATTGAAGTGCTGTTAGGGGTGCTGATGACTTGACCTGCACAACTAAGGTAGTAGAATAATGTATAATGGGATGTGGAACAGCTTACCATTACACAGTATGGTACTTTGATATTAAAACTAGTGCTGGCAGAAATTACACTACAAAAATTATATAAAATAAATTGCCTAAAGATAATTGGTAGCCTCAGGTTATTTCACCTGATAATTAAACACCCTTACTAGGAGGGGGGGGGGGTATTTCTGATTAAGCTCGAATTGGATATCATTAGGGTAGTTAATATTACTGTAAAATAAGCAGGGGAACCAATCTTGATGTAATTCAAATAAACACAATTCCAAAACAGAATTTGAAATACAACAATAAATAAGTAGTGTAGATTTTCAGAGTACCTAAATCAAAACCTTATACTGTACCAATATCAGTCAACCCAAGTATACAGTACTTGTAAAAGCCAACACTAGACAGTAAGCAATAAGGTTACCTTATAAGCCTAAACAAAATATAACAAAGATCACCTATCACCTGATGATTTTCCCAGCTTATTTTCTTAAAGGTTTACTACCCTAATTCTATCACAGTTTTATGCACAACTTCACGTGCAGTTGTAATTAGTATAGCTCATGTTTTTCTTGCTATTAATGTAACCTTTCACACCTCAATTCTCATAACTATAATTTAGACACGTTTTCTTTTCTCTCTGAAAAAATAAATATATACTATTTTTGCAGACGCTGTACACTTACCCAGAGAACTTCAGGGCCTTCAAGGTCCTGATATCTGCCCAATACAGTGGGTCTAAGGTCAATGTTGACAGCAACTTTGTTTTTGGCGAGACCAACAAATCTGAAGCCTTTTTGAAGAAGTTCCCGTTGGGCAAGGTAAGGTAGCTACCCAGGAGTGACTGTTAATGGGGCAGGGTTAGGAGGAGATAAAGATGAATATGAGGGCTTTTACAAGTGGAAATATGCTGTTTTTAGTATTTTGAAAATGGGGAAAAGTGCAACATTGTCACTGACCATTTCTTTTTAATGTAATGAACATGACCAATTTCGTTAATTCATTTTAAATTTAAAGAATTTAGCCATCGGAAGTATTAAAAATTTTTTACAATATATTAATTGGTAATTTAGTTTGTCCTGATTGTAATGTCTTTTTTCAGTGTTTACTCTTATTCTTATTCATACGTTCTTGTCCCTTTTACGCTTTCACCTTATTTATTTGAACATTTATTTAACTGTGTGTGTATGGGAGTTGGGAGAAGAGAGAGCGATGAGATGACCACGGCGGTGTGAGAAAGGAGAGGGGGGAGGTGTGTGGTGTCAGTCTCTCCCTCTAGGGTCGGCTTGTCCTTCTCTGGTAACCTAGGTTGAGAGAGGAAGAGAGGGAATAATAAGGATAATATAAGAGGAGAAACTAAGAATAAATTGGGAAATGTTAGAATTGAGTTATTACTTGACTCACTGCATCATATAAGCATTCAAAGTACTATTTTTGCATAAAACTTCTACCCAGTGCCACTGAGGGGAGACTGAAAATGCTCTTGATCATTTCTTTCATTTATTTAAAACAATATAATACCTTACAATGGATTATACCAGTGTACTCACAAATATGCCATGATCAGACACAAAACGTTAATGCAACTACAATTCCAAAGCCAGACGGTCCATTTTGAAAAGGGCATACAGTACTTGTGTGCTTGATGCTGCAGGTCTTGGTCAATCAGCTCAGTGTAGGCCTACACTGAGGGTGGCTTTGAGATTTTGGCTTAAAAACTGTTTTCTACTACTTGAATTTAAACAATGCTGTAAAACACGATATTATTTACAAAAAAAAAATATGACAGCTACACTGTGAAAATGTTACATTACTAGAAGATATAATATTTTGAAAAATTAGCAGGCAAACCTATTTTAACTTGGAAATGAAATGGGGAAAGAATATAGTTGACAAAGTGAAGAATGAAATGATGCTGGAAGCCTGGGAATAATTGCAAAAATGCTAAAAAACATCAGATGATGTAGAGGGTGACCAAATTGACTAATACAGTCATGGATGATTGTAGTGTTCCAGATTGGTAGAACATGGGCATGAAGCTGTTAGATCAGGTCGTGTGAGATGTGAAAAGAGTGATTTAAGAAATTGAAAAGGATGACACTAAATGAATTAAGTTCTTTGTGGAGGCAGTTCTACTGGCTGAGATGGTTTGGGCATGTGGAGAGAATGAAGGAGACCAACAGTCAAAAGGTGCACGAACTTAAATGTGGAGGGGAGGAGAGCCAGGGGTAGGCCAAGAATGACATAGGGAGAGGTGAGAAACGGCATTAAAATTAGGAAACTAATAGGGCTGTACAGTGTGGAGAGCTAATTCTGACAAAGAAACTGCAGCATGGACAGCTGCTATCAGGTAACCATGGCGAACCCATGTAAGCTTGGAAAATTTACGTAAATTGGTGATGATAAAATGTAATTTATTTCTCCATCCTCTTCCTTCTTAAAATTCTTCCATTTTTCTGAAAAGTCAAATTCAGTAGCAATAATGCTGTTTGCATCTTATTTTGTAGGTGCCTGCCTTTGAGACCAGTGATGGCAAGTGCATCTTTGAGAGCAATGCCATTTCTTGGGCCGTTGCTAATGAACAGCTTCGTGGCAAGTCTGCCATGGACCAAGCTCAGATTGTGTCCTGGATGAACTTTGCTGGTAAGTTGGTGTCTTCTAGTGTTCTCTGACCACAATTTAGACCCCAAGACATTTGTCGCCTTTATCGCTATTATACCATTCATTCCAATTACATTAATATCATATGTACAGGTAGACCCAAATTTACAAAGTTTTAATTTATAAATATTCAGCTACGAAAAAAATGTCCAATCCTTTGGTTTATGAACGAAAACCCCTATTTTTTTCTACATCAGAAGATGCTGAGTTGCTGACACAGACATCTCGGGGCTTCCTGCACCAGACCTGGTTAGTTTATAAAGTCAAATTATAAACAGCGTATAAGAGTGGTTAACAAGCAAAAAATATTAATTTTACTTATCATGGCTCACAGGATTGTTATGTGTAGCAGTATCAAGATGCTGACTTAAGATATTTTGACTGGAGATAGTGATGTTTATTTTCCTAGAGTTTAATCTGAAATTGAACAAAATGCGCTAGATTCATTTATAGGAGTCCTAGTAACGATGAAAATATGCTAATGATTATATATTTTTTTGCTACTAAAGTACTACCACCACCACCAGTCTGTTTACATGTATAATAGAGTACAGTATTGGTTTTCCATCATGAATCACTGGAAAGAATAAAATGTTAAATGTGTAAGTTTAACATTTATTCAAATAAAATTATATAAAAATCAAATTCATTAAAAGCAAAACATCTCAAGATGCATACAGTATACTGTATGTAGTGTAGTAGAGCTACTGTTGATATTAGTTATGAAAATAACTCCATGTAACTTGGCTGGGCCTCAGTCTTGTTCTGCATCAGAACCAGTGGTGCAGTTTTCTCAGGTACTGTCTCCTCCATTGCAGAAATTTTTTGTTTATTATCATCATTAAGATTTGTAAATAAAAACATGGTTTGTATCTTGACTTACGAGTTTTTTGGGGGGGGGGGGGTGCATACGGTAGATTTAAGAAAGGTCAAGGTCATTCTGTAATTTTAACTCTTTTGTAAGTTCGGGTATACCTGTCCTCTTAAAAACTGTTTTGGCCTTGGAGACACATTGCTGTCTCCATAGCCCCATTCTTCCACCACCTCTGTCTTGCCATTCTCTTCTATCATCCACTTACTTTTACCACCTTAAAAACCTTAGTCATTTGTGTTCAGTACTTTTCATGTCCATGCTGTCTTGTCCAGGTATCCCCCAATTTATTATTGGGGTTACATTCCCCCTAAAAATATCCATCGCAGGTTGAAATATCGTAAATCAGGATCATTATAACATTGGGTTTCAGTGGGTTTCGTTCCCAGCCAGTTGGACCCACTTGCATCACCGAAAATATAATTCCTACAGTAATACTATACCTACAACACAATAAACAGCACTAACCACATTATCAAGAACAAGCCTGTTCATCATAACATGTCCCCTTTGAGGCTGAGGGGACTCATGAAGGTGGAGTGGAGACGCTCTCCCACACAGCCTCTGGGGATTCTAGTACCTCTTCACAATGTCATGTTTCACCTCCAGAGAGACAGTATTCCTGGGTGCCATGGCCTTCCCAGACATTTTCAGTTACACTGCTCACTTCAGTCATAAAAGCAGAGCGAAAACACTTGTCACAAAACGGAGTGAACAATGAAACGGCTGACACTGCTCGCATCATGTAAACAACAACAGAGGCAAAGCACTTTGCAGTCACAAAAAACCAGCAAAAACTACTTAACAATCACCAAAACAGAGTACATTGTGAACATTGGTGATGTCCTCTCACTAAGGTAAAATAAAGGGTACCGTATTTGCCGGCATATAAGACGCACCACCGCATGAGACACACCCCTAATTTACAAGGATAATTTGTGGAATCTTTATTAATATGTTTCATCATACAATTATTGAAAGTGATTTTGTAGGAGAAAACATGATTTTGTGCATGTAAATACAATATATACAATACTGGAATCAAGTAGGAAATCATATATACTGTAGTAACATTATACTAACCAACTCTGCCTCTGACCAGAGCAGCTGTGTGGATTGTTTATATTTTGGTCAAGAGAATTACCGACAGGATGTGAAACTCGTATTTTTGGCTGCGATGTTTTGTGTTGCCGCGATCTGCCACCAGGGTGTAGCACCGTCGCTAGTGTTTTGGCATCGACTCATTGCAAATGGCTGACTGGCGGCTGAACTTTCTATTAACATTTCTTTAATCTTTATAGAGGCATTTTTCAGTTAGATAATAATCAAATGTTTCTTAAAGGTAATACAGTCATTAGATAATATGACATGCATCTGGTGTGGGTTACGTTTGCTGGGGAAGGAGGTACAGTGAGATGTTGTGAGCTTACGTCTGCCATTAAGCCAATGTAAGCCATTATTTATGTCTTTGGCAAATTTGCCCTAAGTTTGTGATAATAGATTGTGATAATTTTGCTTGTTTTTCATTTTTTTATTATTTGTAATATTATTAGTAACACAATTTTTGTGCTTAGTGGACTACTGCTCGTCCCAGACTCCCTAGCTAGGCACCTACGGTGCTCGGTCTCCCATCCGTAATATGGGTGCATTAGACGCAGGGTAATTTGTGATACATTAAAAAAAAAGTTTCTTATTCGCCTGCAAATACGGTAAGTAACAACACGGATACTGACCAATTATCATTGAGCTGCATGATCACAACCATGGAACAAAGATTGGGACTGTGGTGCACTGGGTAACCGTGAGGGTAGACAGCAGCTGACAAGTGCACCAAGAGATGCTTTCCATATTCTGCGTTGGCTGGACGATGACTATCGTTCATGGAAAATTTTTTTTTTACCATAAATAGGGGGTGGTCTTATTACATCACCATCGTTAAAGAGAGATATCATAGGTAGGGAGATTGTAAATTAGGAGATACCTGTACAGTATTGGAATTTCTTATTCCGCTCACATTTCTGACCCCAAATGCTGTATTTCCCCAAATACTGTATTTTTCTGAAGTGCATCATTTTGTCAAATGCAGATGTGCTGGTTGTGGAACATTTGATCCAGCAACTCTATACAGTATATCTAGTGTACCATAAAGATTGTTGTTTGCATTGTACAATGAATATCATAGAAAGTGTTATGAAAAGTGTACAGTAAACTTAGGAGTTTCCCAAGATTATGCTAAGGCAGTGAATTCTGTAAATATTTCAATTTTATTGCAGACAATGAAATTTTACCAGCTTCTTGCACCTGGGTCTTCCCATGCCTTGGCATCATGCAGTTCAACAAAGGTAACTCTGAGCGTGCCAAGGAGGACGTGAAAAAAGCACTGGGTGCCCTTAACACGCACCTTTTGCCCCGCACTTTCTTGGTTGGGGAGCGCATCTCTCTAGCAGACATCTCGGTGTGCTGCACCCTGCTGCACTTGTACCAGGTACTGAAATAAGATTTTACAAAGTATCATTGTACAAATTGGACTACATCTGTATTTAAAAAAAAAATCAATGGATAGTTACATTGTTTCTTATTTTGCAGTATGTCTTGGAACCAGCTTTCCGCAAGCCCTTCCAGAATGTTAATCGTTGGTTCACCACAATGATTAACCAACCCCAAGTAAAGGCTATCATTGGTGATTTCAAACTGTGTGAAAAGATGGCCCAGTTTGATAACAAGAAATTTGCTGAGGTTCAGGGCAAGATGAAGCAGGGTGGTGGCGGTGAAAAGGTAATTGTTTTTTGTTAAATGACCTTGAGCACTGTAGTCTTAGTGAAGACATGCATTATCTGCATAATTTATTGACTATTTTGGGACTGGGAGATGAAGACCATTCATAATTAAAGCATGCATGTAGGGGATTAGTAGTAGTGTGAGTTATTCCTTTGAAGTGTTTCTACATTGCTTGATTATCCCGGCTCTGTAGCGTCAAACAAAGGATAAATTAATCCCATTCTCTTGTAAGTTTCCTCTCTTTGAGGTTTTGGAACAGCCAAGGAATGGAACATATTATTTAATCTGAAATATCTATTTAGAACACTAAAAAAAATTGAAATTCAAAACTGGTTGTCATTCTTCCTGGACATCTATCATTCTAACTTTTAGTTAGTTTGTAATGCTTGCCATTTTCTAAGTCTATGCAAGTACAAAATGGAGTTTGCTCTTTCTTTTATGGATGCACTGGGTAGTGACTTCCCATCATGGCAAATAATTTTTAAAATCTGGTTCAGATTATCCAGCCAGATAGTATACTTTACTTGCTTATTTTTGTATAAATACTCTAGGCTAGGGTGACAGCAAACTTACACCTGCTCTCCTGCAATAGTCTAGTATCTTAGGTAGCTTACACTTAAATGGTCATTCACCTCTCCTATTTTTGTCCAAGAAACATTCTTAAAAGTTGTTACATAGCAGCCACATGTTACCTGTTTGGCTGCACACACTGTCCCTCCATGACTTACCTTGTACATTCTTATAATCATTATATATACTGTACTGTACATTATATAAGTTTTACTTTATTTATATCCAAAATTTTGAATTTTCTCAACTGAAAAATACCTTCACACACTACTTATAATCATTATGTATACTGTACATTTAAATTTTACATTATCTATATCCTAAATTTGGAATTTTCTAAACTGAAAAATGGTTATTTATTTATCAAAGACAAATGGTTTGGTATACTTGTACAATACTGTATACAGTATTCACTAGAATTTTGTTCAACTGGCCTAGAATGTAGGCTGATAAAGACAACCAAGCAGTTACAGCTGCTATGTGCTTCAATGACACAAGTCTATGGAGACTTTATTTTTCATGGAATTAACTCTAAAAATTAAATATGGTACCTATGGAAATTTTAAGGATACAGGGCATGGGGTTACGGCAAATTTCTGAAGGCTACTGAAAATATTTTAGAAAAAATCAACCTCTTGATAACTCTAAGCTGTATCAATAGGTTAGGATGATTACCCTACTTTTGGGGGTTAGTGGGAATTTCAAAGAAATGAAGGAGTCAAGCCCCTATTGGTCTGTTAAGTAGGTGTTATATTGTATATAGGTAGCCTTGGTAAAATGTGTCTTTCATACCCATGGATATTTACAATACTGTATAGAATACTATATAGACAATGATTGTTTTACTTAAACTACTGTACTATTAAAAGTGCAAATTCTTAATTTACACAAGATATAGTAAACTTCTTTCATCAATAGTTTAGTAGTAAAGTACTTAAAGCTTAAGGTTAACCAAAAATTTGCTCAAACAAAAATTATTTTTTTAAATAGTAATACAGAGTATATGCTTTAAATCAACAACAGCTTCAGCCAGACTAATAGTGTCTACATAAGTATGTTTACCTATACAGATACTTTGTATCAACAAATTTGCAAGAAATAACTAAACTGCACAGTACTTTATGAAATGCTAACCAAAACATTTTGGGTGACAACCACCACATCATCACCATTTGGACTGCTATAGCTTACCTTACGTCCTCCAGACCAGTGATTCTCAAACTGGGGCCCGCAAAAAGTTTTTGAAAAATGGTGTGTTAAACGTTTGTGAGAGATTTGGCGATTCCAATTCGCAGGATATTTTGGATGTGGCTTGAAGTGAACAAATGCTCTGGACTAGGATTTATTCATTGATTATTGACAATATTTGTATGTGTCATGGTATATAAGGGGTCCTTGGTTGAAAAAAGTTTGAGAACCCCTGCTCCAGAGAGTCACGCTAAAAAATTAACTACAATATAGAGAAAATTAAGACTAACAGTAACTAATAATAGTCCAACTCAGTCCTTTTGTTACCTGGTTTTATTTTTATCTTATGTATGTATACTTGCCGATAAAATGCTCTCAACACGTCATATTGCACTACTGTACTCGTACAGATATTCTGATTGTGACGCAATGTTTCATCTATCCTGTGTTCTATAAAGCAAGGTACATCAAAGTGTAACTTAATACTTGGTTTTTGGCCTTTACAAGGTATATATTTTTATGTTGTCTGTTTTCTCAGATGCTACCAGATATGTCGAGAGTATTTTGTTGGTGAATGTACCATGTACTGTATACTGTAATTATAAAGTTGAAAATTTTAACACTTGCTATTCAGCTGGATACCAGACAGTGAAAGTATCCACTATCTTGCTGGGTAGTCCATCTGATGTGTCCATACTTTTTACCAAGGGGGTAAAACCTGAATGATCAACTCTATATTCAACCCCCTCTCTCTTGAAAAAAATATAAGTAAGACTTGGCAATGCTTAATCTCTTGCACTAAGTGTTCTGCCAACAGAGATGCAGTACAGAGTACTTTAACCCTGTAAATGGTTGGTAAGGATTCCCAAGTCCACCCCAAATGTGCAAGACTGGAATGCTAGTAACTTCAAACATCCATTAATGATTGCCACTGTTCCTCCAACTAACATCAACTGCTGTTTAAAAGTCAAAGTTAGGCAAGGTTGCTTCAATATAGTTACTGGTAAGAATTTAAAAATATAGTCTCAGAATGAAGTGGTGAGTAAACAATGCGGATAAAATTTGTTTTTTGGCTGCCTTTCATTTGATAAAATCAATTACAACCTTATTATATGCTTTATAAATTTGTAGTTTTTGTTACCATAGGAAAGCTGAGACTGCATTATTTTCTTTTTATTTAGAAAATGGTGTTTTGTATAATTAAAATGCGTGTTAATTGAAAATGAAATTACTAATTTCAACTTGGAACTTAACAAAACATGAAATTTTCCCTTTTATTTGCTCAGTGATTCCTTACAAGATTTTCCATTTATAAACATTGATTAAATACCATAAATATCAATATGTCGTATGAAAAATTTGCCTGGTTATTGAATATTTTAATTTTTTCACTGGGTTTCTGGATTCTTGCTGACTGTGAGGGGGGGTTCTGGGTAGTGGGTTATAGGACCATGAAAATGTTAAACTTGCTTGTGTTCAGCAGGAGAAGAAGCCAAAGAAGGAGCAGCCAAAGAAGGAACAGCCTAAGAAAGAGAAAGAGCCTGCTGCAGAACCTCCAGCACCTAAGCCTAGGGATCCTCTTGATGCCCTCCCAGTTGGGTAAGTGTTTAGGAGAGCATCAGCTAGTTTCTTCCTCAAAAACTACTACCTGTAGTAAAGATCAGCATGATGGGGAGGATAATGTCTTAATATTGTTCCTTATTTTTAAATGGTGACCATATCAGGTAGGCATTAGTATATGATGCATTGATATATAAGGTAAGTTTTCTGAAGAAAGGATATTTAGACACATATTGTGTTTTAGGTTGAATGAGAGTAGTGCCCAGCTTGGGGATGGACAGCCCAGCACAGATGGAAGTGGGTTGACTCCAGATCCCACTTTGGTTCCTTCAGTGGTTGAGAAGGTTTTATTGGAGCATATTGAAAATATTCCTAACTTGGTATTTTTTGACTTAGAAACTACTGGGTTTCAAGGGGATAGTGACATTGTCCAGCTGTCTGCTGTGATTGGAGAGAAAAAATTCAATAATTATGTGTTACCTACTAAAAGTATATCATGGCAGGCATCTGAAATTACAGGGCTGACTTTCAAGTCAGGATCCTTGTACCATCATCATGTGAAAGTCGATGCTAAAAATCCAGAAGTAGTATTGCACTTGTTCCTCACTTGGCTTCAGTCTGTTTCACCTCTTGCTTTAGTGGCACACAATTGTTATAGATTTGATTCTAGTAGACTTTTGAATGTTATCAAGAGGTACAGATTGGAAAGAGATTTTGAAAAATTAGTTGTGGGCTTTATTGATACTCTTCCCTTGTTCAGAAAGGCTTACCCAAACCTTGAAAATCACAAACAGGAGACATTGGTTACACACATTCTTAAGGAATCATATAATGCACATGATGCTCTTGCTGATGTACAAGCCTTACAGAAGCTAGTAATTAAATCTCAAAGTGATCTGCAACTTACTCTGAAGGATTACTCTTTTACATACAAATCATTCGTTGCACTTAGGGAATATGAAGAGCAAGGAAGAATTAATTCACGGACATTAGACCCACTTGTAGCTTCTAATCACTTATCTGTTGGTATGGCAGAAACTATTGGCAGATCTGGATTGTCTCTGAGAGATCTAAAATTGTCTGTTGCCAGTGGAGGCAGAGACCTATTGCAACAGATCTTGAGCCAACCAAATCGGTTAGGAAAGCCTAGAGTCACGAAGAGCAGATCTGTTGTAGATAAAATACATAATTTCTTCACAAGTAGGGTTGTGGAAACAGATAAATTGAAATGTCAATTTGCTAACTTAACAATTTAACCTGATAACTGCAGTAGAGTGATTCGCCGATCAATCCTCCAATGCGCAAAAAAACACGTACAGTACTGTACTTCAAGGAGGTTACGCGACATCAAAATTGCTAGGAGTAAAATTCCTCAAAAATATATGGATGGCCCTCAAAATACAGATGGAGTATGAAATTTTCTATATTGCAAAACAAAACTGTTGTCAGTAGAAATAATGCAAGTTATCTGCTCTAGTGATAAAATCACAAGTCAGGCACTTAGCATTTTTCATAATACTATTCGTGCCATATGATGCATCGTTGTTTTTACAGTTAGTGGCACAAGGCTATGTGCTCAATTTATGTCCATTAAATGGTCACGTTTTCATGTCACAAAATAGTGACGTGCTCTCATTCCTGGAGTAACTCCTGTAGGTGATTTGCTTTTGGGTTTCATAATGGAGAGGATGGATGCAAAAATAAGCAGTGAAACAAATTGTCACATTTGCCTGTAAACAGCCAACTCCAATATGTGGGAAAGTTGGGATGTGCATTAGTGATGTTCTTTTCTGCTGCAAAATATATTTTTTTGTAAGTGTGGAAATTGCTTGTGTACATAGAAAATTTATTCCAAAGTTCTTTATAATTTGTGAAATTTTTTTATGCAGAAAGTATAGTAAGTAAATAGAGGAATACTTTTACACTTTGAGTTACTATGCTTTTTATTGTGAACACAGGCACTTTCATTATCATTTGGATATACAGGCATATATATCTTTAAACTTCCAAAAGAATTTAATAAATAATGACTTATATTTTTAAGTAATAATGGTCAAATGAATGCGCAATGAACAGGTTACAGCCTATACGAGCTGTGCTTCAGTTCAATGTTGTACCTTGTCCATTGTAGTTATAGTGTGTGACTGGGACACAGTCACACTTGCTTATTTCTCCTAGTGGATACTGTATAGTGTTTGCCCTGCCTTCGCCACTATTGATTCAGCTTCTGCAAGGGAAAGGAAAGTGATGTGCTAGTTAGAACAAAAGAGCTTTATTTGATAGTGCAAAGAGTGAGAGGTGGTGACTTGGATTTTATACCGCAAATTTTTTCTTTTACCGTAGTTATTATACATTACTGTATGGTACAGTATCAATTAATGATGAATATTACATCCCTGGGAACCAGCATGGTGATGCTAGGATGTTCTGTCCAATTGGCAATTGATGTGTGTATGACCTTGTAGCATAGAAGTAAGATGGGAGATGTACAAACAACAAAAACAAGTCATTTGTCATATTGATGCAGATTACATCATAAATAATGTATTAATGAGGTTATGCTCTAGCATATGTAATAAGATTTTTAATGTAAACATTTTGCTTTTGATGTTACTACTGATAGGGCTTTTAAAATTTTATACTCCAGATGGAACATGCCGTGAATGGAGGTCCTCAAACATGTTGGGTTGTGCAATATCGTGCCTTAGGTCAGAAAATACCATCCACCTCTATTTTATACATTATTTCAAGCCTGTTTAAATCACAATCTTGGGGGTGCTACAATACCGCTCACAATGTTTTAGTGTGGCAGCACTAACGCTGACTTGTTTTGAGCACGTGTGGCCGAACCCATACACGCGCAGGGCTACCAATGCGAGGAATGCCTGGGGGGCTTTTTTAAGTACTTCGTTTGTAGTGTCAGTTTGTTTCACGCAGGAAATGTAGCTGTAGTTTTTTACCGAGTGTACAGTACAGTGAACCCTCCATTAACAAGCGGTTCAGTTTACGAGATTTCAGCTAACGAGTTACCTCCTGTAAGGACTTTCAGTTCTATTAACGACAGCCTTACGAGAAACACGTCTGGTGCGCGCTTCAGCTGACCGACTCGTCCGCCAATAATCGGTTATATTTTTATCTTTGTTTCCAGTGGAGTAAGTATTGAGAAAGTTGTGCTTTTGAATATGTTTGCATTTTTACATTAAAATTATTGGTCATTCTGAAATTTAGTTAACATAATGATAATATAGTGCAGTGTTGGTTTAAGTAAAAACATCTGGACCCGGATTTTGGAAGATTCAGACAAAATTTTGGGGGTTCTCGGCTAAGAAGCATTCCCAGAACAGGGTGAAGGTAGATTTAGGCTTAGTTTTTATCTTATAAAATGTCAGACTAAAATTAGCAAAATATAACCTGTATTGCTGGAATCCTTGGAAAACAGCGAATAATTTGAATATGGGTATAGACATCATATATTTTGCACAAGAGATAAAAATTGTAGTCCTAAAGCGAAGTACATTTAAGTGCAAGTTTTTAAACTCGTATTTTTGGGTAGATATACTTAACTTTCTTCATTTATTTTTACTCATTTACATGCACACACCATCCTAAATACATATTGTTAATTCTATTACTGGTATACAGTACTTTGTCTGTACTTTTTAATTAGTTTTAAGGGAATTCTGTGATATGGAACCATAAACCCAATATCCCATTGAAATATTCAGTTTACGAGTGACTGTGGAACCAATTGTGCTCGTTAATGGAGGGACCACTGTATTCAATTGTGGACTAGATTCTTACTCAAGTGAACAGAAAATTGGGAGTATTTGTGAAAAACCAGCTGTCATATAAATTTGGTTATTGAAGACTTCCAGGTAAGGAAATGCCACATTTAAGTGGTTGCCAGTGAGTTATAAATGGATTAAGGTACTGTAGTAGATTTTGAAAGCCCCGAGTCATTGTACTTGCTTATCTCATGCTTAGTTTTAACTACGTATATTGAAGTGCTGAGTCCCGACAAATTATGATCAAAATATAATTTAGAGAATTTTTTTCTTGGATACTGTATAGAAGTATGCATTTACTGTGCTGCATTTATAAATTGGATACAGCATAATTAATAATTGGGTAAATATTTCTGGGAAAAAATATTGAGATTAACAAAAAAGTTTTAATGTGTTCATACTCTGATATTTGGTGCTATATCATGTGATATCCTCTTGCAATACCTGTAATTCGTTTGATAAAACCTTGAATCAGTATTATGGTCCAATAAAACCTTGATTCAATATTACTACTACTGTTAATAGTTTATTTTTTATATTGAGAGTCTTTTTGTGCATATTAATTTCCATTGTTAACATTAATTGAAAATGTATTATATACAGTATATACAGCCATCCCTTGGTTATAGCGCACTTGGTTATCATGATTTTCGTTATCATGCCTCCATCAAAATCTGCACACCTGCTGTTATAGCGCATTTTTCAGGCAGAGAATTTGGTTATCTCGCAGTTGCCTCCAGGTTTACGAGGTCTGTCCGGAAAGTATCCAGCCATTTACTATTAAAAAAAATTTTGCTTACCTAGGACAATGGCACCTTAGTCCCCTTCAAAGTACTCCCCTTGGGACCTCACACACTTCTCCCAGCATCCCTTCCACTTTTCAAAACAGTCTGTAAAGTCCTCTTTCGGGATCTTCATCAGCTGCCTCGTCGCATTCTCCTTAATCTCATCCACGGTCTGAAATCTCTTCCCTTTCAACGGCGATTTTAGCTTTGAGAAAAGCCAGAAGTCGCAGGGAGCCAAATTTGGGCTGTAGGGGGGCTGAGAGACCTGGGTGATACGATGTTTTGCCAAAAAAAACCCAGCATGAGACGTGAAGAATGGGCAGGCGCGTTGTCATGATGAAGCTGCTGGTGGCAGGAGGTGGCGATGACGAGGGTGGTGCAGTAGTCCACTGCCAAACCTTGCTAGTGCTTGGTGGTGGAGGTCACTGAGGGATGGCATTTCCAGGGTGGAGAAAGTGTTGATGTAGCCGGAGTAATCTGCTCCGAGCATGATTCTGGAGGCACTTTTCTGTACCTTCTCTAGTCGACGTTGTTGGGTGGAGTTGAGAGAAGATGACCAGGCTGGTGAAGCATACGTTAGTTTGGGGAGAATAAAGGCGTTGTAGATAGTCTTCAGCTCTGGCGTGGGTGTCCCAAGTGACCTAAGTCGTCGTAGCATGTAGAGTCGGTACGAGGCTGCCTTGATTGTGTTATTTACATGGGCCTTCCAGTCCAGTTTGTGGTCTATGGTAACACCCAGGAGTTTGGCAGACTGCACTAACTGGAGAGGATGGGCACCCACTGTGACTGCTGGAGCTTGCACTGGAGTGGTGGCGGTATTGATGTGCATGACTACGGTTTTGGTGTGGTTGATGGTGACCTGGTTCTCTGTAGTCCATGCCTGTAGCCTGTCCAGGGTACCTTGTAGCGATGAGTAGTCTGGTGCGGTGTTGTCCACTAGCCCCCACAGTGCAGTCATCCACGTACATCCACCTGTGTGGAGTGTCCGATAGAGCGTCGTTGATGAGGATGAGGAAGCACAGTGGTCCCATCTTGGTCCACTGGGGAACACCACAGGTGAAGTGTTGGAATGTGGAGACAGAACCCTGATACCTCACTGCCTGACGGTGTGTGTGTGTTACTTTTCTTTTTTGTTTTTCTTTTTTGTGAACTTGGCTATTTTGCAAAATTCCCAGCATGCATGCCGGTAATTTTTCGAAATAAATTACAAACAGGCTAACCAAAGTTCAAAACAAAACAGGACCACATAACTGTGTATCAATCTACATGAGCCATCCTAGCCTAACCTCTTACTTAACCTAACCATAAGGTTAGTTTAGGTTGTCTGTTTGCAAGTTGTTTTGCAAAATTACCAGCATATATAATCACACACATGCACTGTAATATATAGCACTACTATCAGGTAACCTAATGGATTGTATAATCCGAATAGGAGTAACCTGTTGGTGCCTTGTGTGTGCCTTTCATCCTGTGCACTACTATTTCTATCATATTCCTGTATTGTTCAGGTACTTGACCCTTTATGTAGTTCAGTGATCAGTGGTTTTTCTATTTCCTGTAGTGTGTACTCAAATGGCAAATAAAAAAATATAGTATTATTACAGAATTGTACTTGCACTTCCTATTTTTATGTAACTCTTAGGATACAAGAAGAAACATTTGCCTATGTGCCCTGTAACAGGTAAATCTGAGATGTTTCTGATTAAATCATTGTGTGATGTAAAAGCTGATATATACTGAAGACCACTCTGATTTTAATTTTCAATTGGGATATTGTTGAGAAGGAATGCTTTCCTGAACTTCTGGTTAGCTCATTTATATTTTGGCATTGGTAGGGCACAACGTTAATGAAATGTTAAGGCCATTTCTTGAAACTAGTTAAAGTACGTTAGTAGATTTATTCCATTTAGTTGAAGTTAATTGACAGGAAGTAGGATGCTTTTACTTGAATTTTGAATTATGTGGATTTTATAAGTAATGTATTGTATTGTACTGTATATGCAATTATGTGTTAATATTTGTCATATCTTCCTCATATTCTTCAGTGTAAGTTAACCTTTTAAATTGGGAACAATGTAGCTGTGTTTTGTCTGGGTTTGTTGTGATACAGCTTAAAACTAGGTTGTTTGTTGAGCTGTATCAGTCAACAGAACAGTTACCAATCCTACTAGTTGACTCGCTTAATGTTTTGCCAGGCACCACCAACATCCTTTGTGCTGACAGCATAGGACCAAATCTTGGTTTGTTACAATATTGTTTGATTTTTTCAGTTCCTTTTCATTAACACATGATGTACTGTACTTGTCTTTGAATTTTGGGTCTAATTAATAACTTTGGGACTTCATTAAATTAGTAGTAAGTTTAATGCTTCACAATTGTAGGGAAATTGAATTGTATTTCTAAGATAATATTAAGAAGTCACTCGGCTTGTATATAGACGAATATAAAATGCTTTGCTGGCAACGGTATATAAATTTTTAGATGGTTAACTTGTGAATAGAGGTTGTTTTCCTTTTCCTTAGTCTGATTAATATTGATCTTACAGAAACTTTAACATGGATGACTTCAAAAGGTTCTACTCCAACAATGATGAAGATAAATCTGTGCCTTACTTCTGGGAGAAGTTTGATCCAGAACACTACTCCATCTGGTACTGTGAGTACAAGTAAGTAACTGGTATTACCCTTTAATGGCAGACATGGTCAAGTGTTTTGTAAAATTTACTCAGATGCACCTCCAACAAATGTCAAATACTCATATGTATTTAATGTATAAAAATCTACTTTTGTTAGTATTCAAACCCTCTTGAATTAGCTAAGGGCATTCATGAGAATTTGACCATAATTTTTATATTCTACTTTATATAAATTTATTAGGCAAAAGTTCCACATCTATATTAGCACAGCTTGTGGTGTGATTGGGATTGCATTATTGCTACCAGATAATCATTTCTAGGTTGTCAGGAGTGAAAATACTCGTAAGCAAGCTTAAGGAGTAATCACCCTGATAGTAAATTATCACAGAATTAAAAATTCAAACAATTTAGTGCTTTCTGGGTGTCCTTTGTAGATGATTTTGTGACAGGTGTGAAAACTTGGATTTGCCTTTCAGTATGGCTGGTCATCCTGCTTCTGTATACTTGCCAAGGGATAACTTCTTGATTTTATTGCAGTTACGATGGAAAATTTTTCATGTATGGTAAAATTATATAAATTTCATCCAAGGCCTGTTCACTATCCTAACTATACCAACATAGGTTACCTTAACAAACTGTTAGTATGTTTGGCATATTCACATATAATAAGAATACAAATATTGAACAAATTTACTAATGCATCTGCAGGTTTTCAATGTATTTTCTTCTTATTATTGAAACATTCTTGATGAAGCTATTTTAAAAATGCCTTTATATACTTTAAGAGTTTTCTTCTCAAATTTTTATTTATTTTTTCCAAAGCTTTCTCCAGTCATGGGAAATCTAAGAGCATACCTAGATTGAAATCGATCTAAAAAATCCACGAGGAAAATTTTTTATGTTCCACTTCAGTACAGGTTTTAACAATGAGTACTGTAATTGACAAGAAATTAAGAACGATGCGGCAATTGCGCTTGATTCCAGTTGTCTTTGATTATGGCCCTGAATAAAATATAATGAGGCTGCACTATTGTGAAGGGGTTAGTGGAGATAGTCTACTAATCCCTTGTGTGTGGGATTGCTTCTATACCAAGGGGGTTAGTGGGGTGTACTAACCTCTTGTGTATTGGGTTGCCTCTGCACCGAGTTGAATCGTCTGGCGTTAGCCAAATAAAATATTAAAAGTGCCAGTCCTGTAGTGAATGGGTAAATAATGAAAGGATTTAAAGGGTCTACAGAGCTAGTCCCATGTTTCATGTTCGTCTTTATTTGTGAATGAAAAGTTGTACAGGCAGTCCCTGACTTGCAACAGGACTACGTTCCTGGACCCTGATCATAAGTCGATTTGCTTGTTAGTCAGAACTGTGTTAATTCCATAGTTTAGGTTAAGCTAAAGCTCAACCCCACCCATACAAAACAACAATATCCTATACATAAATAATATAAATACTGTAAATGAAGTGATGCTAAACAATATAGAATAATGAAAGCACAGGTTTTGTAAACAATTTAATTTTAATACAAATTTTGGGGATAAATCTATTGGGCCAACGTTTATAAGTGCGGATGATCTAAGTTAGACGGTCATAACTCGGAGACTGCTTGTATATGATGTATAGAGTGCATCAGTATAAGGTCACTTAGTGTTTAGAAATGATGCTCCTTTACATAGTACAGTAATTAATGTACCCCCTTTGATGTGTTTCCTGGCCACTGTATATTGAGTAGCTTGGGGTCAACCAAAGGGTAAAGCAATAACTTCCTCTACGACTTGTTACCCCAATTGTGGGCAAATGAGTAACCATTGGAATGGACAGTTGTGGGTATCTATTCATATGCTGGTGGCATTTAAATTGTAGCTGGAATTGTGTACTGTATATAAAATTTTGAAGATGTGCTTGAAAAAAAAAAGTATGTAGAGTATTGGGTTACCTGACATCACTTAACACTTCATATACAGTGTGTGTGTGTGTGTGTGTGTGTGTATATATATATATATATATATATATATATATATATATATATATATATATATATATATATATATATATATATATATATATATATATATATATATATATATATATATATATATATATAGACAAACCAAATTTACCATTCGTTTTGGTACACCATATATTGATAGCATTATTTCTTTACAGATATGCAGAGGAGCTTTCAAAAATCTTCATGACTTGCAATCTGGTTAGTGGTAAGTAAGAGTTATTTTAGCAGTACGATAATAGTGAAGCTGACCCAACAGATTGTTCATGGATGTATTTTATTAATGTTTTGCTTGGGTATTAATTTATTAGAAAGAAATCATTCCCATGGATTTTAATACCCTTAATATGTCAAACTCGTAACATACAAAAGGTAAAGTAACCTTGAACAAGTAGTGTGTGAGAATGAACAGAAAATGGATTACGGTAGTGGTGCTGACATGTGTGAAGCAAAAAAGGAAGAACAGATTTGTAATAGAAGGGGATTATCAAAGAACAACTTTTACAATAGTAAGAATGAATGACAACGAATGAATGGAAAATGTATATTTGCTCTTATTTTGGACTTTTATGACTTGGAGGGATCAAGTATTCAGGTCATCACAAAGACTTTTTTGATACTTGCTGTTAATTATTAGAATTCATGCATGCATATACAGTCAGAAATAAAAGTTCTCGAAC